CAGTAATGTCTGTTCCTCTCTGTGTGCGTGTTATCTTCGGTATATGCAAAAAAAGAAAAAGAAAGGATTTTAAACTTTAAAGAAAGGGAAGAAAAAAAAAAAGCAGCATGACTGTGCCAGACTGTTTCGTTTGACGGTTCATCAAAAGGTCGAACCTGGACAGACAGTCCCAGGATGCATTTGACTGAGGGATATAAGTACTCGACACATCGCCCAGAGTTAGGGATACCAAATGGCTCACAGGTTGCACCATATGCTCTCATCTTTGTCATTTTCAGTTAAGATTGAGTCTGCAGTGCACTTCAGGTGTGTCAGGCCCATAGTGGACTTAGGTTCTCTACATGTGCTGCTGGTAAGTACGTCAGTAGTAGTCAACGTAAATACCGAGAAGACGTTGCTTCTCTTCGTGCCTTCCCACGCCGGGTCTGATATCATCCCACCTACACCTCGCGTTCACGACCTCCCTGTTCAACTTCATCTCGGGGAGACACGGTCGGCGATCTTCCAAGGAGTGGCTATATATATTTAGGTGGGAATTGTCATCTGGGATTGCCTTTATATATATTTTTTGCAGGCAAGGGTGTTGATTGCTATCCTGGTTGGTCATTGTCCCGTCGTTTGGTCTGTGACGTAGGGGGCGGTGCTTACATGTGGGACTTGTCATCTAGGATCTGTTATGTTTGTTTTTTGGCACCCTTGTCTGCGTCCCGGTTGGTTTTGTCCCATTGTTCGGTCTATTTTGGTGAGCGTAGCGGTGCTTTCATGTGGGACCAGTCATCCGTTTTTTTTTGTTGTTCGGCCTATGAGAGCATGAATGGTTTAGGAATGGGAATACCCACGTCTTGATGATGAATAAGGCCATCTGCTGTATATAGTTTTTTTTTGCAGACAAGAGTTTTGTCCTGGGTGGTCTTGTCCCGTCATTTGGCCTGTGAAGGAGGGGTGGTGCTTGCATGTGGGACTTGTCATCTAGGATCCGTTTTTGGTGCTGTTGCTTGTTGCCCTCTGTTTTGTTGTATTTGGCTGTTCCCTTCCTCTTTTCTTTGCCTCTTTGCCCTTTGGCTGTGTGCAAGTGGGTCGATATGACACACGGGTGGGGGCAGCCGCCGCTCAACCTACATCCACGTGGGCGGCCTTGTACGCAAGAGGTTCTGAACAGGGGGAGTTGTAAGTAAGAAGATAAAAAATGAATTGATATCTTTTTTGTTTCCTTTTGTTTTTTTTTCGCTTTTGCGCTCTGATAACTTTGTGGCAATATATCCAGTGATCTATCTCCTTTCATGACAGGCTATGGTCCCGGGAATGAGCTCGTCATTCCAGGTGTCTTTCGTGCATGCTCCATGCATGAAATAAGTCGTGTCCGTCTCGTTGCGGACATCTGCAACGTCCCACTTGAATACGCCAAAATGGGCAATTCACTCGGTGACTTGCACGGTTGCCCTCACTAAACCGACAAGAATCTGGACTACGATTCACATTGAGTCTGACTGAAATTGGATTGACTTTTTGTGCCATTATCTGTTTTTCTTTTTTTTTTCCTGAGAAAAGTGGTTGACTTTACTCACATCAACCTTGCAATCCTAGCAGACGCGTGCGCGCACGTGTGTGTGTGTGTGTGTGTGTGTGTGTGTGTGTGTGTGTGTGTGTGTGTGTGTGTGTGTTGGCATGTTCGCTAACACAACTCCACAAAAAAAGCATCGCTGTGCCAGACTGTTTCGTCAGACTTCGTGGACTCATCAGGACCTGTGTGTGTTTGTGTGTGTGTGTGTGTGTGTGTGTGTGTGTGTGTGTGTGTATTTATCCTGTTCATGTGTTATATGCTGCGCCTGAAACGAGGGCCATTTTCAGGCCCTGTGTTGTTTTCAGCCTAAAAGCCTGAAAACAAGGGCCTACAGCCCTGTGTTGTTTTCAGCCTAAAAGCCTGAAAACAAGGGCCTACAGGCCCTGTGTCATTTCAGCCTGAAAGCCTGAAAACAGGGGCCTACAGGCCCTGTGTCGTTTCAGCCTAAAACAGGGCCCTCCAGGCCCTGAGTCTTTTCAGCCTGAAATGGCGGGCCATTTTCAGGCCCTCCTTAGGCACCAGACCAGGGTTTTAGCACAGGCCATTTTGGGCCTGTTTTCAAGACAACCTTTGTTTGAGCTTCAACGCCAGGGTCTGGCACGTTTTGGCATTGGCAAGAGCAGCCTCCTGGATGGGCCAACACTATATAAGACTGGCCCGCCCTGCAGGCTGCAGGTAGTTCATAGGGACTTCCCTGGCACTTCCCAGGCACTTCACGTGCAGTTCAGGAGGCAGGAGGCAGTCTTCAGGATTCGGCAGCAGCACTCTGGAGGAGCGCTGCAGTAGTAGTAGTAGTGTTAGCAGTAGTCTTCAGCGCTGGGCGCTATTAGGAGCTAGAGTAGCACTGGAGAGAGATACAGATTGGGCGGAGGCCAGGGAGACTTGCCTGCAGCGCCATAGCTCCAGCTCGTCGTCGAGGTACCTGCAGCACAGCGCCATCTTCACAGGTTAGTACCTGGCACATGTGTGTGTGTGTGTGTGCATGTGTGTGTGTGCGTGTGTGTGTGTG